GAAGATTATGAGGAGAATTATACCAATTACAGGGCTTAAGGTTTAGGGCTTGTGGAAACAAAGCCAAACGCTTCCTTTGCCAGGTTACCGGCAGCAGTTAGACCAGGATATTGCCAGATCGGTTTTTCAAAGAGAACCAATGAGAACCTCAAAGCCCTTCTGCAGAATTCCTTCACACTCCTCATTCAGGGGGAAGGGACATAACAGAGTCCGTTGCGCCAGAGTGACTGTTGCTTTTTTGCCATCATTGCCAAGAGAAGAACTCCAGGAATTGCTGCAGCTACTACTCTTGATCTTCGGGCTTTAGAGGGGAACGGACGGCTTGCAGTAGGAGTCCTGGGTCTAGGTAGTCTTTATCACTGAGGCCCGCAAGCCCCAAACCTGAAATCCTTGACACATGTTAAGGGTCCCATTTTAAAGGGCTTGGCTTTATGGGGACAATCCAACAGAGTTTAGGGTTCAGGGCACAAGCATGAACTGTTGTCAGCAATGGAGAACAAACTGAGAAAGAACATGGACAATGAAATCGAAACCTGATGATGTAGGTGTTTATAGGGTGGTTAATGTAGAAGCCAGCAACTACCATGTTTTCCACCAAAAGCCTTTATAATACTCTAGTTTTGTATACACCAAACACTCCTCTAGGCCCCTACAACCCCATACCCTAAACCCTGAGCGCTAAGCACCCAAGGCACTGGTAACCCGCTGCTTCAGGAGGCCACATGGGTGCCGGGGCTTGCTGTCGCCTCGCAGCTTGGGGTTTAGGGCAGAGGGCTTGTGCATATTGGAGCCATAGCCTAGACTGCTTAAGGAAGGCTATATAAAGGACTATATAAGGGACTGCTACAGGGGTTATTAAGGGGGATACTAGGAGTCTAGACAATAATTCATATAAGGCGTCAGAAAATTAATGGTCCCTTTTTGGGGGCGTTCAAGCGATAAGGATCACAGCAAGTTGAGGTAAACGGTAAATTGTCGGACACCTGCTTATGGAAACTCCCTCTGAGGGCTTCCCAGACTCCATAACGTCCCAACTAGAGTCCCCCTTTAGTAGATAGAATACGGCTTTGGGTATACTAGAATAAGATCCCCATATACCCCATATTCCATCTACTTGAGGAAGACTATTCCACTAGAATGGTTCATGTAACTGGCATGTTGGGGTTACAGCTGTTATTGTTATCTTTATGGGTTTACATATCTCAGGGAGTCAAGGTTGTGAGCGTGCAGCGCGCGAAAACCTTTGAGGCCCATAGAGGCGGAGAAGCAAGCTCAGAGGATATGATCAAGCCCCAAGCGTCCAAGTACCCAATAACTAGGACCTCGTAAACAACATATAAAGAAAAATATACATATATCTTTAGGGATATAGAGGGTTTAGGGTACAGGGTTCAGGGTTCAGGGTCCAAGTACCCAATACTTAGGTGTTTGGAAATTTGGCAGGAGTTATTGTAGTACACGTTTTGGGTACGTATAAGCTTATAAGTACTTGGACCCTTAGGGAAGGACTACTCCAGACTATCGAAGAGATGCGGTTGCTGCAGGTACTCATTTACATCATGCGCGGTTGTAAAGATGTCTACAAGACATGTCCAGAAGTGAACCGTGGTGTGAGTAACGTTTTTGGGCTGGTTTAGCCTAGTAAGATTATATTCCTCATATGAAATACGATACCCGAAAGGAGGATAGAATTTTACTCTATATTGGGTACCATAGTATCCCCAAATAAAATACTACTCATGTGTCTTCGCTTCACCTACGAAGTTGAAAAGGCTTGAAATCCCAGGCAGCAATGCTATGCGGGATTTAGGCTAGGGATCAGGAAGTGCTAGCTTCATTAATGGGGAGCACCAAGATATGGACCCCCAAGTACTGTAGTCCGGGCTGCGAGAAATGTGCCAACAAAAAGACAAGTACGAACCAAGTACAAACCCTAAATCCCAGAAAATCCCAAATATTCCTGTCATGGCCGGCTTCCATGCTTTTTGTGCGAAGTCAATCCCAAATGGCTTGAGGCCATGAAAGGAAACCTCCTCCGCGTAACACCAGCATGTGCCCTGCTCCAATAACTAATACTAGTAGTGATATTAGTAATTAATAAGACTCATAATAGTACTAGAAGTAGTAGTTACAATAGTACCAATAATAGTAAACAATCCAAAATAATAACAAATAATGAGCAGCCGCCAGAGAAATGAGCTACGGAGGGGGCATGACTGAACACTGCCCCATTGTAGCCACCCTGTTTCTTGCACTCATAACGCACATGCGAACAAACAGTTATCAACAAATATATATAGTCCCCCTTAAGTAGATAGAATATGGGGCATATGGGGATCTTAGTATAATGTACCAAAAGCCATATTCTATCTACCGAAGGGGGACTATACACTCAACACTGGCAGTTTACTTATACCACTGCACTTGTCCCAGTCAGGGCCGGGCATATCCAAGGCCACCGGGGAGGCCATCGGGGAGCCCATAGGGGTCATGGGCCCTCCAGGCATGATCCTGAAGTGAGAGGGTTTAGGGTTGGAAGTAGTAGTATACCAGAAGTAGTAGTCGTCGAGTAGTTGTCGTAACAGAAGCAGCTGCACTAGTAGCAGTAGCAGTAGCAGTAGTTGTTGTTGTTGTAGGTAGGAGTAGGAGGAGTTGTCGTAGTAGTAGTAGTAGTAGTAGGAGGAGTAGGAGGAGTAGTAGTAGGAGTAGTAGTAATAGTCGTGGGTGGCGGTGGCGATGGCGGTGGCGGTGGCGGTGGCGGTGGCGGTGGCGGTGGCGGTGGCGGTGGTGGCGGTGGTGGCGGCGGCGGCAGCAGCAGCAGCAGCAGAAACAACAACGGTTCCTTAGTAGAATAAAACTAGCTGCGGCTGCAAATACCCTGTTGTCTGCCATCAAGAAGAATGCTACAGCTTGGCTGATGTTGCCGTCTCAGCTGGTACAGCGCTGCTGGTGCTGCGAGGGCTTGCAAAAGGAGCTTGAAGGTGTAGACATATTCTCATACCAGGATCTTGATCCAGGACGTGAGACCATAGAAATTGCTGAAGATGTCCTGGCCCTTTGCCCCATGTGCGCCGTGCCGTTATTGCGCTTTCTGCCCGAACTGGCAGGACCTGGCCTCGCGGCGATTGCCCGAGAGGAGCCAGGAGCGAAGGTTTTGTTTCCGTGCAGCTTCCACGGCCTCCTCAGCAGCTCAGCAGCTTCCACGAATTTCCATGATTTTCTCAGATGCGGGTTACCAGAGAGTGGTCCTCCAATGATGATTGGCAGATCTCTTCATTGTGATTCCTTTTGTTGGTTGCATCGACTGTACCTCATGACTCCCAGGTCCTGCATCAGAGGCAGAAGCACCTGTATGGCCAGCTTCTCGCCAGTTTTTCCTCGCCATGCAGAGCTCTATACACTGGACAGTGATAGGCTGCGCCGTGTCAAATCCAAGAAAAATCCCAATTCAGGCCATCACCTTCACTCAGCAGGCTAGTAAGGTGGTGATGTATCCGCCGTACTCCTTCGCGTAGCTGCACCTGAAGCGGCAGTGCAGATTCAGCCAAGCTTTCCAGGTGCTTCGGAGCTTGAGCACATGATCTGGCTCTCTCAGTCGACACTGAGCAGCATGCAGCCAGTATGAGAAACAACCCCGAAGGAAGAACAAGAAGCGCTTGCTGGTGACAGAAAGCTGTGGTCTGCGGGTCTGCGCAGCCATGTCATCATAGCGTTACCCGGACTGTTCGTGATACGAACACCGGGCAGTAGTGACGAACTTGACAAATCTTTCCCAGCACGACTCCCCCTTGCAAAATGAGCAAGTCCTTGAATTTTTGCTTGAATTAGTGATTCCACTGGGGACAAGTCAGTCCAGCTCCATGGGCCTTCTTTTCCTATCTCACTACTTTCTCCGAAATCTGTTTCAGCATGCTTCACCATATTGCTTTGGCGTTCGACAGCGGGCAGCCACCAGGATCGCAACCCTGACCCGGGCAGCCCGGGCAGCGGAGTCTTATTGAAACGCGAGAGAAGAATCCGAGTTCCGAATGCGGGGCGGGGGGGCCGGCTAATACGTTTGATCCAGTGACCGTTGAAATCATGGGCTCCTCCCCTGCTTCTGCTGAGTCCTTTGAGTCTTTTTATCCTGCTCCTCTCTCACAACTAGAAGCATTAGCTCTTCCCTCGATGCAACAGAAGACTACACAGTAGCAGCCCTAACTGCGTGAAGGAATCAGGCAAGTGTTGCGAGACAAGTGCTCCCAGTGTACCTCTGCACTGGGCAAAGCAAAGGTCACAACCAGGGGGATGTGATCTGAAGGCTCCTGCTTCAGGATTCTGTGGCTGCAGATCTACAATTCGAGCACAACCTTGCTCCAGCATAAGGATTATTATCTTGTCCAGAATTTCATGAACCAAGTGTCCTCATCATTGGGCATGACCCGTTGGCACTTCAGCAGGCTCTTCTCCTTGAGGCTGAGCAAGTCCTGGCCAGTAGCGTGACAAAGGCTAGAAAGTACTACGCTTCGGGACATCGGGAGATCTGGGCTGAGCCATGCTGAGCATCTGGTGTACCATCCATTACACATCCGTGGCACAGGGATCCATTTTGCGTAGAAGATCGACCTCTCTCCTCGTCAAAAAAGACGTAGTCGATCGTCTCTTCGCGCATTCCTGGTGTGCTTGGCGCTCCGTTGTGAACTGGCTCTGGCTAAGCCCAACCCTTCCTCTGCAGCCAACAGCACCAGCTGCTACAGTCCGAGCAACAACAACCAGAATGCGGGCAGCCTGTGACCGTTGACGAAGCTTCGTTTGAGCCATAGATATCGTTGTAGGCATCGCGCATCTTAAGCTCGCGCCCATCTGTCCGCTCCCAAACGAAGCGTCGCTCCTCTCAGCTCATGCTGTCAGGCTGACACCTTGTGGCCGTGGTCCAGTATGGATGCAGGCTTGCTTTTGACTCCTCGCCATTCTTCTCGTAGCCCGTGTGGTCCTGGCAGTCACGGAGAAGCTCCAAGGGCAAACCTTCAACCAAGACTTCCATGCCAAATTTCCTTCGCTGGGGGACGCATGATGTCTTTTTCTTTTGTCTAGCAGCTAGCATTAATTTCCCCCTCAATGTCCAGTACCACAGATTTCTCTTGAAGTCTCTCTCAATGGCAATCCCCACGCAGGAGCCCCTGGGATTTCCAGCCAGAATCCAGAACCAGAACCTCCCCCCTGGCGGGAACTCTTTCAATTTGGAAGCTGTCACTTGGATGAGTAGGGCCCCAGGCCAGAGAGCGAAGCTTCTTGAAGTCTTTCTGGGAGACCCATTCCTAGGCATCAGATAGTGGTGAGGTCAAAAGCGGGCATTCTGAACTGCTCTGCAATTCGGGACTTCTTCTTCCATTCCAGGGGCGAATTCTGACACATGTAGCTTGCCCACGCTTGCCCAAGACTTCCGAAATTGCACGAAAATCAAACCATCCAATCGGCCAGCCCGAACGCCGAGGTGCAAGGCGAGCGGACGTCTCCTCCTCGCCAACATTCTCAAACTTGATGAGCGCATCGCCGTTTGTGTCAATCTCCTGCGAGGCTAGCGGATGCTATCATGAGGTCTGATGGGGTGGTGATGCCATAATACATTGGACTTTCCGCTTATGTCAACATCGCTTCGCAGATGCTCTGAACAGCATGAGATAAGAGTTTGAGGGCGAGAGGGCACACCAAGCTTCCAAAGCAGATGATGTTTTTCCCTTCCAATCTCTCACCCTCCCCTCCATCATCCATCCAGCGCACCAACGAATCATGACATTGTAAGCGCCTGCACCTCTCCGATGGTTTTGCGGCTAATCCTCAGCTGGACGGGGGGGGAAGCTCTCCAACAATTGAACACGAATACCTGATTGCGGAGACCGAAGCGCTCAGGTCCCCGAAGTGCATTTTTTTTCTGAACTGGGGGTTGTGAGGAACCCAACAAAGAAGGAACATGGAAATTGTCACTCTGACACTGTTGACCATTTTTTAAGACAGGCTGCTTGAACTTCTCCATGCTAATGGAGGAGAATTCATCCAACACCTGGTTGGTGCAGAGCTCTGGATGTTCCACTGCTCCCGCGAAACTGCGAAACCCACTTCAGGCAGCTTGGGTCTCTTCGCAAATGTGGCGCAGGCCAGCCTTCACGAAACGGTCTTTTGCGACATCCTTTTCCTGCTCATGACCCAGGACTTCGTGCAAAACAGCCAAACTACTGCTGTCTGGCACACAACATCAGCATTGGGGCATGTCTCAACATCCAGTCAAAAGCCATGGATGGTGCAAAAAAAGGAAGTGTGGCCAGCATTGTTGTCTTCATGAATACTTTGAAAGGCCTTGTCATGATGAAGAGAATGCTATTCAGCCCAAGGGACGCCCTTCATGAACTTCTTTGTCCAGATGAAATCGTGAGCTCCCCCACGACTGTTGATGTTGAAGTCGCCGCAGAGAATGACGGCGTCGTCAGGGTTCACCAGGTCACCTGGGCAGTAATTCTGAAGTCTGGTATGTACGTGAGGATTTGCCCCATCTACTGAAGAACAGCAAGAAAATCAGCAGCGAGTCCTACACCGGAGCAGTGCAAAGAATTCCATGGCTTTGCAAGCCCAAGTCACTCATCATGGAGTTGATGGTGCAAAGCTCTTCCTCAAGCGACATCCGGTTAAGTAGTGTGGAAGTGGAGTGTTTCATGCGGACCGCCATTTCATGTAACGATGCATGAGGTGAGCTTCCACGTGATCCAAGGACACAACAAATTGGGTGTGACTGAGAGCAATCATATAACATTGTTCAAAGCAACCTGTTGCAATCCGCATGGACCCGTGGACGCTTTGTTGCGGCTGTAACATGAGCGAGCATGTATCACGTACGTGTCATTGGTCGGAGAAAATGACGGCTGGTTTGTCCATATCCCCGGCAGCAAGTAACATGAGAACAGACCTGTGCTTGCAACAAACACCTGAAAGCCAAGAAGTCTCTGAGATGCAGACAGTTCTGACTCTGCCGGAAAGATCTCGGCTGGCAGTCATCAGGTGCGTGGTGCAGAAGAGTAGGGTCTGCCTTGTTTGCAGCACAAGGGTAATGTAGTGGAAACGAAGCCATACATCTGAGGATGGTGCAGAGCGAATTTAGAAGCCTGCACGACAAAAATGCCGAGCCTGCTTGCCGCAATCATGATCATAGGAATGACTGACGATTTGTGTGGGTTCTAGATTTGGCTACAACCTAACACCTCTTTGCTACATCTACTTTGCAAAAGCATAGAAGCCTTCCCATGGATCTTATGACCAAGACAATCGACCCCAAGAACCTGAAGGTGTTGCTACACTCCTAGCCCGAAATGCCAGCAATAGCCGAAGGGCCCATAAAAGTCCAATCTCACAAAGCCCAGGCTTCGACGATCCACCGTCCTTAGCTATCGCTCCGCCCGGGAGGTTCCCACAATCGAAGCCCATGCATCAAAGTGCTGTTGATTGCTGTTGTATTGTCTTGTTGGGAAACCCCCGCCGTTAGCAGTTTTCAGCTTTGAGGCAGGCTTGGACCTCTCGGTGGCAGGCTTGGAGGCTTGGCAAAGGTGCAATCGTGGACACAAACCACGCCACGACTCAGGTTGCTGGGGTGCTACTCCATCACAAGTCTCTCAAGCCCCACCACAGCCATGCGAAGCACTAATACCGCCAACCCACATAGCTAGCGTGCGGAAAGTGCATCTCAGAGGAGCAAAGGTAGGTATTTCCTTCCCCGGTTTCGGGCTAAGGGTCCTCATTTGCTTTCCATCTTCCGCTTTTTCCAGCAAGTCCAGGTTGCCAATCAGCCTCTCCTTCAGCTCCTTCTGGTCCTGCTCCTGGGTGCCCAGGAACAGCTGTGTAAAGCATGTCGGCCATGCTTGCAACAGGGTGCCTCCTCTGGCCCTAACCCCATGAAAAAGGTATATGCGGATACCGCTGCCATGGCTATGCTGCAGCAAATGTGCACAACCACTGCGGCGTAGCATGGCGTAGGGTTTTCTGAGAGTACAGGTCTTGCATCTGCCTCCCTTGCATACTTCCAAAGGTGCCATAAGTTCTTGAGACACCTTGCCGCCCCAGCTGTTAGCCTTTGGGCCATTCTGCCGCCGGCCTCTTGTTGATCAGGTTGATGGCAAACTCGGAGCAAGGCACTTGCATGCAAATAAACCTGCTCTACTCATGAAGCACGGATGAGAGACAGGATTCTGCCTCAGGGCGTGATCTCATTGCATGTTTGATAGATCGCGGCCGAGACGGCCGCAAGAGGGAAAAACAGGCTGCTGGCTGAGATTGCTGATGGGACTAGTAGCTACACCTGGGATTTTCCAGAGCCATGGGCCCAACAGGAAATATACGAGTAGTTAGTTAAAGGGCGGAATTCCCTAAGCTACGACTAGGACTACCCATGCTTCTTGTTGGCAATCCCTCTCCAAGCCAAGATACGTTCACAACACGTGCGTCCAGACGTCCATTTCCGATCTGAGTCCGGAGGGCTTGCGTGGAGAACTTCTTTTTCCAGAAGATGCCCTCAGAGACGCAAGCGGAGGATGTGGTCAGGGTTAGCACGAGAAACAAAAATGGCTACCCTGCCCCACCCACAGCATGCTTCTGCTCAGCTTGAACTTCCCATGCAATCCTTTTACAATACAACTGTAACAAAAAGCTTGCAGATGTCTTCCGATTGAAACGTGAGGGGCAAGCCGACGCCAACTGAAACCAGCCAGGTGCTCAGCACATGGCGTACAAACGGAATTGGGAACATTAGCGACATCATGAAGCATGATGTTGCTCGCGCAATGACCAAGCAAGGGTAGGGAACCTTGAAAGGGGTAGTGGACACTACGGCGGGGGCAGGCAGGTTTGATGAAGCACCAACCATGACGTTACTTGTACCATGACCATGCAATGGTACTTTACTAAACACTACTAAAGTACATAGTGGGGAGGTGTGATGCGGCCGCCAAGTATGACATTAATTGTACCGTGGGCAAGAGCACGTGAGGTGAGCGGAGTAAACGCAAGTAAGTCAACCAAGCCATGAAAAATATGTGAGTTTATGAGTCAACCCCCTCTCATAATGAGTATTGATGTATGTAGATACACTTATCAATAAGTATGTATTCTTATATACATACGTATTTACTTCTTTGCATAGATACAAATGTAGCAATGCACACATATGCATATGCATATCTATTCTGAACACACCA